CATCTGCTGGTTATTCATCCAGATCTCCACAACAGACTGGCTGCCTGGCTGGCCGGGGAAATTACTTATTTAAAGAGGCACTGAGGTGCACGGATTAGCCCTGAGCCAGGGCAGGAAGTCCTGCCTTGTAATTGGGTCCAGTACTAAACTATCTCTCAAAGTGTAATGTGGCAGAGGTTTCCTATTCCAGGTAATGATGAGAATGGCACAGTATGCTGTTTTCTCTCCTTCTTCACCTTTGACTGATTTTGTCTTTCAAATGAGAAGACTGGAGGGACACACAAAAATCAAATATGAAGAGAGAAGGAGACATGAGAGAAGGATTCTTCATCTGAATAATCAAATATGGATTAGATAAGATTCGTCAGTGATAACACAAACTTAGGGAAGTGCATTGTTTATTTGCACATATACAAAGAAGCACACTCCATTCAAAATGAAACCCTTAAGGCACCGCACACTCTGTCTCATCACATGGAGAAGCTTTATTTTCATCTTGCACAAACCTGAAAGTGGCTCTATAAGAAGAGCTAGATCCCAGTTTAGTTTTATTGGAAATAGCGTATGGTTATCTCTCTTCCATGTGGAGGCCATTAGGTCAATTATGAAGAGCCTAGGCTGGGATTGGGAGTTCTGGGCAGGATGACGCACGCAGGCCAGTGGGGGTGGGGGTTCGGCTTTTGTCGATGCCTGCCACCCCAGCTTGCTCTCACAGTAAAATGCAACTTTATAAGAATCACCAGACCGTCCCATCTGTTTTCCACCTCACTCATTCTTTGTGCACTTTGCGTTGCTGCACCTATAGGCTATACAAACCAAACACTACACAGTCTGTGTGCTGTGGTCACCCCCTGCTGACGTTTAGCCTCCCTATGCAGAAGTTCTGGTGCCACCTATATGTACGTTCATTGCCATCTTCAAGAAAAGAGACTGTGAGGTCCCTGCTTTAACAAAAAGCCTATCTATTGTTGCCCTCTAGGGGTGTGTGTGCTTCCATCTGGCATCAGTGACACCTCTTGTCCTGTCCTTCCCAGGCTCCTGTTTCCTGCGGACTGACCAGCTGGATGGAGAGACAGACTGGAAACTACGCCTCCCAGTGGCCTGCACACAGAGACTACCAACTGCTGCTGTGAGTCATAAGATAAAGACAGAGAGGCAGTAAGGATGTCGGAGAAAATGATATGTTGGAACATTGTGCCTTGTGTTTTGTGCAGTAAGAACTGATGAATATATGAGTAACCATACACGCCAACTATGGTCTAAGAGAAGCAAGTCTTGTATTGGTCATTGGTCATTGACTAGAGCGTAGGACGGCGTGGCCATCAGACAGCACCATGACTCAGAGGTCAAATGTCCACCTCATACCCGCACTTTCTTCACTGTTTGACCAGTTTAGTTTTTTGTTAGTCAGTTAATTCAAATTTCAGTATCATTCAGTAAAAGATTTCACAAATCATTGCTATGTAGCTGAAAAAAACCCTATTTACAGGATAAAGTCAGTGATTTTCTATTTTTTAATCTTTTCTGTAGACCAGAACCTGGATTCACTGAACCTGGCTTATTAGTCTGTGCTATAGACTTCCACTGTTGTTCAAACGATATTAAAAACACACCAGTGAATCACACTGCTGCACTGGGTGACATGAAGTGCATGGCATACGTCTTGTTGTCTTGTTTCAACAAGGAGCCCCAGACACTAAGACATCACTTTTTACAGCCTCTGGAGTAAGAGAAACAACTGATCTCTGCTCTGTTTACACTACTCTGCTAGCTTCTTGCTTTGCTATGTGACATTGTTGGTTTTAGTCTTTTAGATCAAGATGACAATAGGCAGATTAACTGGTAATAAGTTAGTTTTGGGTCTAACTCAACCCTGATCTGCTGCTTTTCCCACCTGAGCTGCTTCTGTCACTTCCTGTTCCCAGTTGAGGTGTGGTGGTTAGCGCTGTCACCTCACAGCAAGAAGGGTTCGGGTTCAAGCCCGGGCCGACCCGGGGCCTTTCTGTGTAGAGTCTCCATGTTCTCCCTGTGCCTGCGTGGGCTCTGTCTGGATACTCCAGCTTCTTCCCACAGTCCAAAGACATGCAGCTCAGGTTGGCTGGTGACTAAATAGCCTCTAGGAGTGAGTGTGTGTGGCTGTCTGTCTTCATATCAGCCCTGTGACAGACTGGTGACCTGTCCAGGGTGGACCCCGCCTCTTGCCCAGTGTCAGCTGGGATTGGCTCCAGCCCCCCATGACCCTATTCAGGAATAAGCAGTATATGGACAGTGTTTAAGATAGCTAACATATTGTCTTATGTTAATGAAAAAACGTGCTTGTTTTCTTCTTAACTGATTAACATTAATTGAGTCACTTTTCATGTCCCACAGGACCTTCTGCAGATCAGATCCTATGTGTATGCAGAGGAACCAAACATTGATATCCATAACTTTATTGGAACTTTCACCAGGGTGAGTACTGAGAGTACATGACTGTTCTACTGAACCCTGAGCTCTAACACTTAAAACATGGCACAGGTTCGAACTGTTTGCCATCAGATAAATGTAAAGGCAGCGCATGGTAAGCCACACACAACAGAGAGAGAAGAAACGTGAAGCGTGCACAAATAAAAGAAGAGTTATCAGTTTAAAATAGACAGGTTTCTACATTTACGTTTATTCTCGGGCACTGGTGCTAAAGAATTTGAAAGATATAACAAAGTAGTGGGGATGCATTGTGCATCCCTTTTCAAACAGCACCTACTAAATCACTTCACCAAATATGGCTGGAGGTTGATGACACTGTGTCCAGTCTGAAGGTACTCATGGAATAAGTTCATTGGTGACGACTGATACGAACTGTCAGTTTCATTTTGATTGCAGAAAGTGGCAGCCACACTGCCTAAAGACCAGAAGATGCTGCCTCATTGTTGTGCATATTGAGCGTAATAAGGGTGTCAGAACTACAGTAGGTACATAAAAAAATCAGTATCCATTCTCTGTTCTGCTTTCTCTTACCATTTCCTCCTAATCATAATGTGTTTACAGTCATTGACGTCTCCAACCTTCAGGCCCACTTGTTTCTGCTCCCTCTTACACACCAGGTGACACGTAGGGAGCATTAGGGCTCATTGCATAGATAGCCTCTCATGTCTGAAAAAGAAATATGGAGCATTAATGTAAAAGACTCCTATGGACAGGTGACAAAAAGCCATCACTTTAACACATAGATGATGCCATCGGTGTTATACATTCCATGTGTGAAAAGGTTTTTACTGTAACTGGAGCTCGACTTTCTGCTTACTAAACCTGTTTAACAACGATGATTGATTTCTCTCCCCTCATTATTCTGCTTCTTTGCATGTTGTTCCATTTGTTACAGGAGGATGGAGACCCTCCAGTCAACGAAAGCCTCAGCATTGAGAACACCCTGTGGGCCAGCACCGTTGTTGCCTCTGGTAAATATCTGACTGGTGGTGTAGCTCTGATCGCGAAGCTGTTCATGGTCCCATGAAGTAACGAGGACCAGGCAGCGCTTGGCCCGCAGAGCCGCTTCCCTCATAACTGTTTTGATGGCTAGTCGAGCTAAATCACAGCTCATGCACACAGCTCATTTCTAAATGTCTTTGGTGTAGCTAACCATAGTGTGCTTCTTCCACAGGGGGCTGCATTCACTTTAGCCCACATTAACACACTGTATGTCATTCATTAAGCAAGTGGAAATCTGCATCCTCTGTCCACAATGACTTCATTTGAAAGTCTGTATATATCATCAGTATACGTCTGAGAAACATCGTGTTGACATATTGTTGTATGTTTATCACAGCGGTGTGAGGCAGTTGTTTTGGTTATTTTCTCTCCCTCACTCCAGGCACAGTGGTGGGGGTTGTGATTTACACAGGCAAGGAGCTGCGCAGCGTCATGAACACCTCCAACCCGAGGCACAAGGTGCAGTAGTGGGTAGCAGAGTCAGGACACCAGCACTGGGTCATTTAGCTTGCATGAAGCTCTGTTCAGTTCATAGATTTTGTTTAATTAATTGATTTGATTTGTCATTTAACTTTGAGTAATTGATTTACTTACACCCACAGATTGTGCATGTACAGGCCATGTGTGTTTACATTTATTTCATGCATAATGTGTGTGCCTCTGTTGCTCATGATAGGTGGGTTTGTTTGACTTGGAAGTGAACTGCTTGACTAAGATCCTGTTTGGGGCCCTAGTGGTGGTGTCACTGGTCATGGTGGCCCTCCAGCACTTCGCTGGCCGCTGGTACCTCCAGATTTTTCGCTTCCTGCTGCTCTTCTCTCACATTGTGCCCATTAGGTATGATTTTCTGCTTCTGAGTCATCTGCACTGTTGGTTTGAAAAGGGAGTTTAAAAGAAGACTCATTTGCTTCTCTTCATTTGGTGCAGTTTGCGTGTCAATCTGGATATGGGCAAGATGGTTTTCAGCTGGATGATTAAGAAAGACTCCAAGATCCCAGGGACGGTGGTGAGGGCTAGCACCATACCTGAACAGCTTGGACGCATCTCCTATCTACTGACTGACAAAACAGGTTAGACTGCAGGGAATGTGCAGTCAGCATACTTTTAACTTTAAAAGGTTTTATTTTAAAATATATATTTTATATGCAGATTCCACAGCAATCAGGAAGAATTGGCGCGTTATCTCGATAACATTAAGCCTTCATCAGTGTCACAATCTCACAGTACAGCTGCTTCTTTAAACATCACATGTTGGTGAATCCCCTTAGGTTAAGTATTCATGACTGAAACAAGCTGGGTTCCTAGGACACGGGCAAAAGTCTCAAATGAAGCCCAGCAACTGGCTTTCCAACTTACGGTAACTGAATTGTAGAGGTGGAGACACTGAGAAGTCATTACTAAAAAGGGAAGGTTTCTGGACGTATAACCTTAAAACTCTGCATTTGAATGGTTTAAATGAAGAATGTAATTCAGCTGTAATTTTTATAAACAGACGCTTATGTTCTTGGAGGAATTTTACTGTTTGAATCTGTACCAGGAACTCTTACCCAAAATGAAATGGTGTTCCGCCGGCTCCACCTTGGAACTGTGGCGTATGGGATGGACTCGATGGATGAAGTACAGAGCCATGTGTTCAGCGCCTACACACAGGTAAAAAACACAAGCACAAGTCTATGAGATGCTCTGTGTCTGTCAAAGACCAGGAATGAGCAGATTCACTCACAGCGTTTAGAAATTCCAAAATCCTGCAAAAGGGTAAAACAAACAGATGAGAGCCATGTTTTGAGAAACCTATCAGTTCGTGAGTATAGTTTGGCTGAATGCACTCTTTGTCCACCTTGACACCAGAGGTTAGTGAAGCAGGAAGCAGGATTAGCCCACAAGCAAAGCACCCACCAGGCTTCTTTAATGACGCTACCATTAACCCCTGGAACACACCGCTTTCTAAAAATAGCAGAAGCACAGTGTTCATATTTAGTTTAAACATCTGTTTATGATTACAAGGGTTAGCGAAGCCTCTAGTTTCTTGGACTAGTAGTTTGTTTTCCAGTTAGCTTAATGAATGTGTCTGAGCACTGTTGTATATAGGAGTTCATACAGCTTGTTTATTTCTTCATTTCATAGCAGCTCGTCTTACAAAATCCGTGGCCACAGTGAAATACTCCAATTAAGAAAGGGCGTTATCACAGCAGCTTGTGTAATTGTCTTCAGCCTACCCACGACCTTCCAGCCTCCAGGGCTCCGGCAGCCACTAAGGTCCGGAAGACCATCAGCAGTAGAGTTCATGAGGCTGTGAAGGCCATCGCCCTGGTACACAACGTGACCCCCGTGTACGAGTCCAACGGCGTGACAGACCAGGCTGAAGCTGAGCAGCATTATGAAGACACATGCAGAGTCTACCAGGCCTCTAGCCCAGATGAGGTATGGTGGCAAGAACCAAACATGTTCTTCTCGTTTTAGTGACATTTGTGTTATTTTTGTTAACAAACCAGTTACACACACCCCAGGGGAAAATTCAAACCCACTGGGCGTGTGTTGAAAATATAACTGTATCAATTATCTTGGCTCGGATTCAAACAAAACTAAAACCCTAATCCTTCATAGCAGACGATTCTTATATGTCTTAAAATATATCTGGAGGATCCCTTTAACATTTTACAAGCCCAAATCAGAAAAGGTTGGGATGTATGTAAATCAAAATTAAGACTGACAATAGTGAGGTATAAATCATCTGTGTCCTGTATGACACTGAAAACAACACAGCAGCACATTACTTGATGTGATACCTCATCAGTTTTATTCTTTATTGAAAATAAACACTCACTTCATTCAATTCTGATGCTGCAACATATTCCAACAAAGTTGGGTCGGCTGCATTTCAGGGTCAGTAATGAGGTCAGACAATGAAATGATGATCCCATGTGAACCAGGTGATGTCAACAGGTGACTGCAATCATGACTTGGTACAACAGTGGCATCCAGCAAAGGCTGAGCCCTTTAGGGGCAAAGATGGGCCGAGGACCACCAGTTTGACAACATATGAGTGAGAAAATGAAAATGTTTCTCAAAAAACGATGGGAAGGATTTGGATCTGTCGCCCTCTACGGTGCAGAACATCATTAAAAGGTTCAAGGAGTCTGGAGGGATTTCACTGTGTAAAGGCCGAGGGCCTTGCCTCAGCTGGATGACCGAGCTCTCCGATCCCTCAGACGGCACTGCATCAAGGATCGTCCCTCTTCTATCAGCGAAATAACCACACGGGCTCAGGATGATGTTGGCTCACCTGTGTCAGTCACTACAATACGTAGTTACATCCATAAATGCTGCTTAAAACTGTGCTGCGCCAAAGGGAAGTCCTATGTCAGCAGTGTCCAGAGGTCGACTGGTCTGGGCTCAGAGGCATACCAAAAGGATGTCCTATGTCAGCAGTGTCCAAAGGTCGACTGGTCTGGGCTCAGAGGCATCTGGGACGGACCATCACACAGTGGAAACGTTCACTGTGGTCAGACCAATCAGTGTTTTATGTGTTTTTTGGAAAGAATGGACGCCGTGTGCTCTGGACCAAAGAGGAAAAGGACCATCCAGACTGTTGGCAGCACCAAGTCCAAAGTCCAGGGTCTGTCATGGTCTGGGGTTGTGTCAGTGCCCAGGGCAAAGGTCACTCACACTTCTGTGATGGCTCCATTAATGCTGAACAATACAGAAAGATGTTGGAGCAACATCTGCTGCCTTCAAGACAACGTCTTTTCCAGGGACGCCCATGTATATTTCTACAAGACAATGGAAAGTCTCATACTGCCACATGACCAAGGCCTGGCTGTGGAGGAAAAGGGGCCGAGTGCTGGACTGGCCTGCATGCAGTCCCCACCCGTCCCCAATAGAGAGTGTGTGGTGCATTTTGAAACACAAATTACATCAATGAAGACCCAGGACTGTTGCAGCTTAAGACTTCTTTGCAGGAAGAACGGGACAAAATGACACCTGACACATCTAATCACTTGGTTAGCTTTCCTACAGCTTTCAGGAAGTCTTAATAGAGACCTGGCTCTGTACCAGAAACAGATTCCTTGTGTGTAACATAAAGGTGATTGTCCTCAGTCTCTAAACGTCTTTGAAGTGAAAAGGACCGGCACCATCACACTGTGGTAAACGCTTTACTGCCCCAACTTTGTTGGAACGTGCTGCAGCATCAGGAGTGAAATGAGTGTTCATTCAGAACAAAGAATAATGTTGATGAGGATTCACATGTGCTGCTGTGTTGTTTTCAGTGTAACACAGGACACAGATGGTTTACACATCACTGTGTGTCATGTCACATCTAATAATCATTTACCATCTGATTGTTGCTTTAAATGCTTCAAAGAACATAGATTTTAAATTTCTAAACTGAGAAAACATTCTCACTGCTTTCTGTTCTTAAACGTGATGGCAAGAAATCTGTGGCTTGGAGACGCTCATTCATTGGATGGAGTGCAGGTCGAGTATAGTAATAATAATGATAATACAATATCTGTTGATACAAACATTCAGTTTGACCTACTTGGGAACATCAGTCTACTTAAGCATCGTTTTCACAAGGCCGACCAGGGAAGGCCTGACAGGAGAAAAGACTTCTGATCTCAAGATGGAGAGGGCTTTGTTTTTGTCAGTAGGGGCCATTATCCTGAGAACCTTCACTGCGTTCTTCATCGAAGGGGTCGAAGTGGAACATTCAAAAGCTAAATTATGTATGAATTCTCAGGAAAAGACTGTGGAATTTGTTCTGATCCGTTTCCTGCTGTGTAACTATGGATTTCCGTGACGTGCTCTCTGGCCTGTTGCACTTATCTCTTGAATTTCCTCTTTCATCACATATTTTGATAGAGCCTTGGGTTGGATTGTGGGTCAGACGTTGAGCAGTTTTTTGTGTGTGTTTGTGTAGCTCACACTGGATAGAAGGTTTAAACTGTTCTTTTAATTCATGTGCCCTGCAAGTTTGATACAATCTAAAGTGAGATTCAGTTAGCTTTCCTACAGCTTTCAGGAAGTCTTAATATAGATCTGGTTTTTGGTCGGGAGCCCTATGCACCCAGTGTCAAAGATTGGCAAATGTGCATTTTCTGCTACTGCAGTTGAAACTACAGTGACATTTAGCTGCTTTTCTTACCACCTTTTAAAGCCCCATGCAGATGAGAACAGGATTCATTACTTATCTTGTATTAATATCTGAATCATTTTAATCATATGTAATAATAAACATGATGTGTGATTCACAAGGGAGAGCTGAGACCTGATTCACTTTGCCTTTCTGCTCACACTTGTCAGCTGTGTGGTGATTCAGAGTCAAACCAAGTGAATGAACAGTTACTCAGTCCAGTTAGAAATCGACAAGCCAATCCAGATGCTGCTATTACCAGCTGGTTCTGTGCCGACACCAGAATGCCTCCACGGTGAATATTTATAGACCATGACTAAGCACAGTCTTCATATTTCCCAACCTGGATGACAAACACTACAGGAGTCAGAGCTTTTCTGATGTTCAAGTGCTCCTAGGCATTGTCAGACTACATGGTCATGCATTTCCAAAATAAGCAATTTGTGAAACACTAATTCTGTGGTTTTAAAATTAGAGTTGGAATCTGTGTTTTGTCTAATCTGTGCACGTTTGTCTGCTCTTCTGTCAGAAGAAGGATGATAAATAAGGTGCGTAATCTGACTTTTGGTTTGAAGGTTATTAGGCATCTCCCCACGCAGACACACACGCTGGCATCGTATTAATGGATGTCATCACAAAGGTTTGAGCAAAAAGGGACATCTTAGTTTATCGGTCAATAGTCTTGAGTGCTGGAAATGCTTGAGGTATTGATTAGAGCTGAATGGTTACTGTGCCCTCTGACAACATACTCAGTCCAGAGTGTCCTTCACTGTTTCCTTTGTTGTTCAAGTAATGGAACATCATATTGATATTTTGGCTTTACCATGACAATAATCATCCCCTGAGCAGTGGTCCCTTTTCTCTCTTGTTGCATCTTCCTGAATGATGATTATATTTTACTGTATTTTAACTTTTGTAAGAACATACAGTAGACTGACTATGGCTTTGTCTACTTCTACGTTTTAGTGACCGCCCACTAAAGCCTTTACAATGTGGTGTTGATAGGTGTCGCTGGTGCAGTGGACTGAGAGTGTTGGGCTGACACTGGTGGGACGAGACCAGTCCTCCATGCAGCTGCGGACCCCTGCTGGCCAAATACTGAACTTCACCATCCTGCAGATATTCCCCTTCACCTATGAGAGCAAGAGGATGGGCATCATTGTGCGAGTGAGTGTCAGGATGATCGTGCTACTTGTGATGTTCTCATCTGTCCATTAAATTTAAGTAGCTGATGTGCATTTTGCTTTTTATATGAGCTTCAAAGACACTGAATGATTCCTTAGTTTGCCTTCTGCTCAACCAATATTTTCAGTTACAGTCAATGTAGGACAGTGGATGTTGCCAGGAGGCTGACTGTGAGCTGACACTGGCTTTAGCTAGAAAAACACAAGAAAAAGCACATTATCTGAGAAAACGTCCCCTTATAATAACCTCTGACTAAGCCTGATGACTAACTGTATTTTTGTTGGCTGGGCCACAGCTGAGGAAGGCTCACTTTTTGAAAATGGACTTCCTTGTGCTAATATTTTCAAACCCCTTGTGGATACCAGAATAAGTTATGAATATCTAGGCAACACAAACTTGTAAAACAGTGCACATGCACCACATTGGAAGTGCTTCTGAGTTAAGGATACATGGGTATTTGATGTGTCTGGTTTTTATATCCTATTTATGTCTCACACTGAATAAACTGGGATATTTGTTTTCTAGGACGACTCAACAGGAGAGATCACTTTTTACATGAAAGGTGCTGATGTGGTGATGGCCGGCATCGTCCAGTATAACGACTGGCTGGAAGAGGAGGTAGATTTCTCTCCTTTTCACACGTCATGATGCAACGACCAACTTTATTACCCTCATTAAAAATTAGCAGACACGTGCACTTTGTAACTTTCTGAATCCAGATGATGTTGTCTCTGTTTCCTAGTGCGGAAACATGGCGAGGGAAGGTCTGAGGGTACTTGTGGTCTCCAAGAAGTCCCTGACAGAGGAGCAGTATCAAGATTTTGAGGTAAGCACCCTCTCATGCCCCCACAGTGAAGAGTCTCATATTCATAAAGGTAAAGTAAAAAAAAAACATTCTCTAGCTAATCAGCACCAGTACACGTTCACTGTACTTGCCTCAGTAAAGCCGTTATTGCCGGTGAACCACAGAAATATCAGCTGTGTGTTAAATATCTGCTGATGACCAATAATACAAATACAGACTGATAATAGATCCAGTCATGTTCCACATTTCTAAATGTCAGAGTGTGTTCTTGGGTAACTGGACTAACCTCTAACCCCTTCAGTGTGCACACCCCACCCTCTCACACCAGGCCCCGCTCATTGTTTGAGCAGGGCAGTGCTGTCTCCCCTATAGTCTTCACCCCCAGGCCCGTTACTCAAGTGTATAATTGTGTGAGCAGAGCTGGTGGGCAGCAGTGAGTCACCAACTGAGTCACACACAGAGTTTGTGTTCCTGTATGAGTCACACGCAGATTGTTTTTGCTTTATCTCACTCACAAATTACCCTGGAGCTGGAGCCCTGATGATGGGCGTTAACCGATTGATCATTTTAGTTCTACATTTCCAGCTTTCTAAAACTTGGTTGCAAGGAAAAAGACGGAAGTTTAAATATAAACTCTTATATGTTTCAGTGTGGCATGTGTTCATACTGCACACAGTTATCCTCTGTGTAGTTTGCAAAATTCTGCTAATGTGTGCAGGACTCCTCGCTGCTGTTTTTATGCCTCCGCTCCAGCGACAGCCGCCGCCGGAGGCACTATGTTGTTGGGTTGTACGTATGTACGATTCTTGTTAACACAATATCTCAGCAGTGCCTTGAGGGATTGTTTTCAAATTTGGCACAAATGTCCACCTGGACTCAAGGATGAGCTGATTAGATTTTGGTGGCCAAAGGTCAAGGTCAGTGACCTCACTTGAGTCCCATACCCGTGAACTTGACTGGTTGGCGGGGGGTACACCTGCAAAGCGGTAACTGTAGTTTATGCTTTTCTCCTTGTGTTTGTTTGTTTGGTGGCCCAAATGATATTTTCTCCTTCCATTCCTGGCTGTTTCCCTTATTTGGTTGCGTAATGATTTTGCTTTGTTCATACTAATATTATTTCCTCCCACTCAAAACATTCCCACCCCTCCCCTGCTCCCCAGGCACGCTACATCCAGGCCAAGCTTAGCGTTCACGACCGCTCTCTGAAGGTGGCCACGGTGATTGAGAGTCTGGAGATGGAGATGGAGCTGCTGTGTCTGACTGGGGTGGAAGACCAGCTCCAGACCGACGTCAGGCCCACCCTGGAGATCCTTCGCAACGCAGGCATCAAGGTCTGGGAGCAAACAGCCTCACAACTCAGCAGCAACAGACTAAGAAAACAAAGAGAAACAAGACAAACATATGTTTTTCATATCTACCTACATCAACAAGCCTCATTCAGCTTTATGTTTTTAAACTAAAAACTATTACCCAGAAAGCTGACTGGTCACTGCAGCGACTAAGGTTGGGCCCATAGTCCCCTTCACTCTTTACTTAAAGGACTAGTTCACCTAAAACACACGCACAAAAAACGCTTTCCCCCCATTACAGATAGGTTCTATCTCCCCTGGGGTTGAGATCTGTTTTTTGGAGATTTCTGCCTCCATCCCAGAAAAGTGGAAGTGCAGGACATTTCATTTCATTTGATTGCAGCATTTAAAAATATATATACTTCCATGCAACAGTTTCTTCCATAGAAAGTTATTCCATTTTGACATTTGAATGGAATTTCTCTTCAAACTTTAATGCATCTTATAAAGAGACACATTCTCTTCACTACGTCTTGTTCTTTGGTGTCTGTGTAGGTTTGGATGTTAACAGGAGACAAGCTTGAAACAGCCACATGCACTGCTAAGAACGCCCATCTGATCACCCGCACCCAGGACATCCATATCTTCAGATCCGTAAGTGCCGGACAAAGACCCCTCTTCCTTTTCTGTGCACATGAAGTAGAGAGTAGTTGATTTTAGTGCTGCGTGGTTCGTTTCCAGTTCAATGCAGCACTGACAGTTTTCTGGCTCTGCCGACCCATGGGCACATATTCTCTCCTATTAGCTAGTGGTCATACAAACCCACACAACTACGCATGCAGCCCGAGCCAGCATCCGCAGCTGAATAAATCACCTCCCACCAGTGAAAGCATCCAAGCCACTGTCAGAGAGAACAAACAGGCCTTCGCTCAAACAGAGGAGAATCCAGCTGAACCACTCCCAGAGGGAACATGTAGAGGGCTCACTTCCTAATTTGTTTTGCAGGTTTGGGGCTTTCTCGCTGCTTTGATAGTTGCCTTCTGCCTTCCCCTCTGGAGCCGCGCCAGAGCAGAAGGAGCGCCTGCCATATAGGAAGGTTACAACTTGCGTACAACTGCGGTTACTGGAAGAGAATAACAATGGTTGGCACGGCTTAAAAACCTCCGTCCCAGTGGACGGGGGAGTGCTGACTGGGCCTGCTGCACACACATCTGCATTAGTTTCCTGGTGTCCACCAATGCCCTAGTCTGGATTGACGTATGAATAGTCATCGGCTGAAGGATATTCATACCAGAGCCTCGCTCTTGTTGACAGATTAACGCCATGCCTTGTCCGTGCTGCATTTTTGGAGAATTTTTAAGTCTATATTTGAACCTGACACATCTGTTAGGAACCTTGGTTCACATTTAATAAATAGCTTATAACAGTTTGTTATCAAACTAGTTTGACGGTAGATTATCTGTTGACTGACTAATCAGTAAACCAGCTAATCATTGTAGCTGTAAATAGAATTAAAATATACATACTCTTTCAAGGTTGATAGTATATAAATGTCTCTGTTTACGGCTGAGATGGTGTATCTTCTAATTATATTTTACATAAGGATGATCCCACTACTGCCTGATGCTCAGTTGTGTTATAGAGATTTTAAATTTGAACCACTGTCGACAGAAAAAATCTAAACTTGGTGCATCTTGGCTGCCCTAACGTTTTGACATCACTGCAGCTGGAGTGAAACAAGCTGCCGTTCTTCTGTCTGATAACAGTCAGGATGCATGGCTTTTTGTTTGTGCTTGTCTATATGTGCATTTATAAATGTGGTTGCCATTGCAATAGGTGACAACAAGAGGGGAAGCCCACCTGGAGCTCAACGCTTTCAGGAGAAAACACGACTGTGCGCTGGTGATATCAGGGGACTCACTTGAGGTAAAGTGTGAGTGCCTCTGTCTGAGTCTAACCATCTTCCCACTGACTTATCTGTCCTTATGAAACTCTGGCATGTTCTCTGTGTGATGCATGATAATATCACTGCCACTGATGCATCTCTGGAAGTGGTATCTGTGGTTAGAGTCACTTTCTAATCCACAGGAGGAGTTAAACTGTAAGTTAAGTTGAGGTGTTGAACATCCACAGCTGAGATCTGTTGCGTGCAGTGGCCTAAATTGCTCACCCATCCGTTGTGGTGGGTTTCTTGTAGGTTTGTCTGAAATACTACGAGTATGAGTTCATGGAGCTTGCCTGTCAGTGTCCCGCTGTGGTTTGCTGTCGATGCACCCCCACTCAGAAGGCTCAGATAGTCCGGCTGCTGCAAGAGCGCACAGGCAAACTCACCTGCGCTGTGGGTGAGTAGAAAATACAAACTGTCCAACAGCGTTTTCAAATCAAGCTTGATTTTGGTTTACTTGAATTTTTAATGTTAAGCATCTAGACATTTAACCTTCCTTTCTGTGGCTGTAGTTCTCTTAATCGGGTCAAAGTAAGGGAGTGTCTCCTGAAGTGCTCTCTCACATAACACACACTAATGTCACTAATAGTTTGTATTGGTGAGTCACTGATGTGAATCCTGACACCTCGATGGCTTTTGTTTTCTCTTAGGGGATGGAGGAAACGATGTCAGTATGATCCAGGAAGCTGACTGTGGCGTGGGAGTGGAGGGAAAAGTAAGACTCTCTCCATCTCACCGCCTCACTTTGACGTCCCACTCTGGCAGATTTTTGCTTTGCGTTTCCTGTAAAGATCTCTCTCACGTTCAGAGACATGCAGCGGGATGTGTACACAGATGATTCCTCTTTATGGGGATCTATTGTCTGAGTAGAGGAAACAAAGAGGACAAGATGCTTTTGTGCTTAAGTAAAAGAGTCTCTCATTGGCCCGCCTCTTGTTTCTGTGTCTGCAGGAATATTACACACAAGGGAATGTTATTGTTGACATTTTGGCACAATTGCCAGGAGTTAGTTGAGAAAATTGATACGACTCCCTTATCTATCCAATATCTATCTGACTAAAAATACCTAACAGAGTAGACACTCCAAAGAGAAAGTGCAGATGGACATAAGGTGCACAGACGGTGACAAATTAAAAGAAACCCTGAATAAATCAGCGTCTCCACCACCATTTGTCCACCTTCAGTCAGATATTTGTGTATCCAGATAACCAAGCTGTGTACCAGTCACTGTAGAATCAACGATTAATATAGTAGGCACTCTAAAGCTTGTTATTCAGGTGAACAACATCATCATCTTGCATGTCCTCACTGCCCCCTGTGCTGTGTGTTTAACAGGAAGGAAAGCAGGCCTCGTTGGCTGCCGACTTCTCGGTGACCCAGTTTAAACATTTAGGCCGGCTCCTCATGGTCCACGGTCGGAACAGCTACAAAAGGTCTGCAGCCCTCAGCCAGTTTGTCATCCACAGGAGCCTGTGCATCAGCACCATGCAGGTAGAGCACAACTACATGGTGCCTTTTGGTTTGTGTTCATCAGTCACACTGAAATGATGAACGACAGTAAAGGTTTCTCACAATGACTTTAACTCAATTTTCAGTTTGCAAAACTCTGGTCACATCCCACAAAATGAAAACATTTTTATCCAATATGGTAATAGATCATGTATAATTTTATCAAAGCATCACAACTTGTTGCATTAAAAATAACCAGGTGATTATAGAGTAAAGCTGTCAAACAGCCAATACATGAATTGTCTTTAAAATGGTTTGGAACGGTTAGTAAATATTATAAAAATAGCTGTGAAGAAAAAAGGTGCAGTTTTGTGTTATATATGAATGTGTACTACAGGTTTATGGACCATATACTTCTAAATCCAGAGAGTTAGGCACAAAAACCACTGGGACACACTAGGGAAAAGCAGCAGCACCCATATGAAACATTTGGTAATTTAACATGAAATGATGTGGATGTAACGTTAACGTTCCTTTCAGTCGAATATCTGTTGTGTTGCTAACTGTGGGCAGTCGACCATAAATCACCTCCAGATGTTCGCTACCGAGATTCACTGTTTTAATGTTACTGATGATTTAGCGCTGAACCCAGTGAAGAGGATTTCAGTATAGATGTGAGTGAGTCCAACTTCTGCAGAGTGCAGCCACACAAACCTCACAACAAATGGGAACAACAGGTGTAACCAACTTACACAAGCAGGACGAAGAAGATGTGGCCTACAGTAAATATTAAAAATGACGAAAACTAGACTAAAATGGATTTAGTTTTTATGGACTAAAACTAGACTAAAACTAACATCCATTTTGGTCAAAAGACTAAAACAAAATCTAATTAGCACAAACAAAAATAGGGAGAAATTCTTGCAAAAACATGTCGTACTGATTCAGAGGTGTGTGTAGCTACAAGCCTTGATGCTTGTGCCGATATGAGGTGGCTGTATCCTGAGGACTGAGCACGTGTGGCAGCGTTTTGCAGTTTGTGCTCAGGGTCAGCATTTTGTTCGGTCAAAGGGAAGAGTGGGCCATGTCAGTACAGCTGTTTGCTTTAAGGGTTTCCCACGTTGAAGCTCGGAGCCAAAGCTATTGTGAAATCCTGTGAAATCTTAAGCTTTGAGCAGGGGGACGTGGCTTCTGTTTATCCACAGCACCCAAGTTCTAAATGTGAGGAGGAAATGATTGGGGTGAGGCAGAGAGAAGTCTCAGGGGTGGTCATGGAAGGGTGGGGTGCACGATGACTCAGAGGAGTGGGCTGGTGGTGCCCTTCTGAAGCCCCCCCCTACACACAGCCTTTGCTATCCTCAGTCCAGTTCCCATGTCCCAGTCCAATCTCAGCCCCCGCCGCAGAGGGACAGCCCGTGACTCACTGCACCATGGTCTTTGGGGTTTTCAGAAGGCCCTTCTCCATATGCCTCACATTAACACCAACCACAGCCGCAGCTGTGACCTGTCTGGTTCAAGGCCACCGGGATTATAGGCTGACTGGTTGACAGCTCAATACTGGCATCGTCCATATGTCGTGGATACATGTGAGAACTGGTCAACCATGATTCTGTCTGGCACTGGTGCTGCACATAAGGATTGTTGAGGTGTTGCACTTAGAGTGTGGAATTCATGTATCTGATGAGGCAGAGTGTGGTTTCCTTTTGATTTGTGTGTTACCATGACGGGTTAATACTGCGTCTTTCATTTCCTCCTGTTTTTCTGATGTGTCCTTGATCCTTGGCATTATTCTGTTAGTAGTATTTGCAAAGTGATTTCTTCTTTGTGGTGCCATTTGAGTATAAATTTGAAAAGATGAATAAATGGCTCACTGACATTCTCAACCT